TTTTTTTTTACAAATGATCTACAAAATGTACACGAGTTGTTTAACAGTCGTGTGTGAAAATATTTGTACGTAAAACTCTGAGTAAAAACAAAAACACAACCAGTCCTGTCCACATTTACTGTGGGTTAACCTTTATTTCAAGAGCAACTTAAATACTAATCCATACACAGCCATCATTAACACAGACAATACAAAATAAATATTCACCATCACTTTGTCATCACCAAATAAATAACAAATATGCGCAGCTCAATTTTTCCAGTGTATTGCAGTGTACACAAAATAGTTTGTGGAAATAAAAAGAAAATAATATAAACAGAAGCATCAAAAAAAATCTTTAGAAAATTATTAAAAACCTTTCAGTTACAAAATATTTGCACTTAAAAAGATCCCAGTATTTTTAAATAAATAATAAGATATATAAAACAATTCATAGTTGATATCTTAAAATATTTCCTCTTGGTTCAACAATGCAGAGGAAATGATTCCCTTCTATTGGTTACTGTTTAAAATCTTCACAGGTAGCATTTTTGAAATTAAAAACAAAGTAGATAATGACTAATAAATAGTCAACGGAAAAAGAAAACAGCAGACATGAGTAAGTAAGTTATTAAACTAACATTTGCAAAGGACTTGAATAGTTACACAGCAATAGTAAGAATGAATCTACAAACTAGTCCTTGAGGTGCAACATCACTATGCTCATATAGAATACTATCAACATTATTGAGTGGAGATGGAATATGTTCACTAACTAAGAGAATCTGTTCAGCTCAGGCTGTATACTGCACTCCTGACTTTGTTCTGCGCTCTCTGTGCATACCTCCGGAGGCCGACAGTAGCATTTTGATCCCGGTGTGCCGTCACGTACTTTAGATCTGTTCACGCTCATACCGTCATAAAGCAACATGCAAAAAGGAAACAAACGCAAAGAACGGAGGACAAAGTTCCAAATGAGAAGAATTAATTACATACAGTATCTAAAGGGTTTGGAAAGAAAGATTGGTGTGTTGTCGATGTGATGCTCTGCCCCCCCCACGTCCTCCCAATCTGTCACACCTCGATGCCCTTCACGGCCTGGTTGATGGACTCTAGCAGGGCTCGGTTCTCCGGGTTCTGGTAGCAGTCTTTATTGGTAAACATGTGCGTCAGGGTCTCCACGTAGCTGTCGAAGTTCTGCTCTGACAGCGGCTCCTGCTGAACACACAGACAGGGACGGATGTCAGACAGCTGGAGATCCAATCCACAAAGCTTCAGACATGAAACAGTACAAGTGATCACAGGTCGACGTTTTCAGGAGGAGTTCTCTCTGAGATGTTTGTGTGGACAAGGATGGCCGTCTGAATACACGCCACCATGGAAAAAAGTTATTAAATCAAAATGGACAAAGACGTAGCCNTAGAGTTTGCTGCTCATCACATGGACAAAGGAAAGGCCCTCTGGAGGAAAGTTCTGTGGTCTGATGAAACAAAAATCGAGCTTTTTGGCCACAATGACCAGCAATATGTTCTGAGGAGAGGTGAGTCTGTCAAGCCCAAGAACACCGTCTGTTTCATCAAACATGGTGGTGGCAGTATTATGACACAAGGAGCACATGGTGAGAACTTGGTCAGTACACGAGGGTCATGACGTCTCCTGGTGGCTGGAGAGGCTGGTGCTGATATTACATTGGTCTCAACATTATTTGTGAGAACAGAATGACAATCTGTGTGTAGATCTGTAGTTTGAAAACACAAAATACTTTACATAAATACAAAACCCTCCCATAAATATATATGTAGTAAATAAACAAATTTGCAAGTACATTGGGTATTTCCATAAATAAATATCTGTAAGTGCATTAAGGTACTTTACAAATGAATGAGAATGATTCAGAAATATGTTCCTAACATTTACAAATGTCAAAACGACATTTATGAGCGATTTATTTGCAAATATATATATATATATGTGTGTGTGTGTGTGTGTGTGTGTGTGTGTGTGTGTGTGTGTGTGTGTGTACAAAAATGTAACCACATCATAGCTAGTAAATCTGTACATCCATTTTTAAATAATCAAAGAAAATAAAACCTGCTCAGTTTAATAATGTAAAATATCTTTGAATGGTTAGCTAGGCAATATTAAAAATCCCTCCAGCAGTGGTTAGCTGTCAAGTGTCAACTGTGCTATCAAGTGATGCTGTCATCATGCAGCAAATGGTTCCCTAAAGGCCACATCAGGTTTCTGCTTTCTAAGAAAGTGGACTCCCGTTAGCTGTCTTCCCTGTTTCTGCTTCGTAACGAGATGAGGCCTGAAGTTAAAGCTACACACTTGTGTTTCTTCCTCGCAGTGTTGCTCTGCACTTCCCTGCTCCATGACTTCTCTGCCCTTCTTTATGGACCAACTGAGTCCCGAAGCTAAAGGCAGAGACTCCTCAGGGTTTTCCTCATGCTCCTGTCGCTGCCTCTTCACTCTGACCTCTCCTCTCTGCTTGTCTTTATGGAGGAGCTGAGGCCTGGGGT